GAAGGGTGAATATGGCATACGGAGAAAATCATTAGTAAGAATCAGAATTAACTAACATTTTTAGTCAGCTAATCAGCTGACTAAAATTTTTAATTATTAATTAAAATACTATACCAATGTCACTAGGATTAATGAATAATATCCTGAACCATATGTGAATAAGCAGAATCTTCATTTCTGCTAATCCCCAATAGACCAGGTTATCGTGCAAACTCTTATGATCATAGATTTTTTTCTTCTTGTTATTTTTTGTATGTTATTTCGTAAGCACAATAATCCTGAATTAAAACTCAGTTAGCCAACCATGACTTGTAAATCATGATCATAATTGCACGATAACATCGATATTGGATCATGCGATGATAAATATCACAAAATTTATTCTGTCGGAGCAAATGATTGAATGAAATGTGCCACTACACGGCACATGTCAGCCAATCATTTGCTCAAATTTCATAATACGTATTAATCGTTGCATGGCCAATACGTATCTTATACGTACATATTATTATTCCTAATATTTTAGTAAGTTGGCTAAAAACATTTTTTTGACTAATTTTTGATTCCTATCCTTGATCACAGGGCTCCAGTATTCACATTAGTGATTTTGTCTGTGAATCTATCAGGCGCCTCAAACTTTCAGACTATGAAATTGGTATAAATGGCTTACTTCCTGATTCCATGCATCTCAAATATACTGAAGCAGGTGTTTCCATCTATCCAGGCATAAATCATGATAGTTGGTGGACATGTGATGATTTAGTTAATTAGGTAGTTGAATGTGCTATACCAATATTTGAACGAACACACCCCAACAAGATAGCTCTATTCATGTTTGATAATAGTAGCAATCATGGTTCATTTGCTGAAGATGCCCTTTTGGTCTCGCAAATAGGTATGAAAGACGGTACAAAAAAACCACTTCTTCGTGATGGTACAATGCCTGATGGTTCCAAGCATATAATGACCTATATAGACAATGCTAATGTAAAAAGGCCTAAGGGAATTAAGCGGGTTCTTGAAGAAAGAGGTTTATGGATACCAGGCCTTATAAAAAAATATGATACATGTAAAAAAAATAAGTCTGATCCAAACAACCCAAACTGTTGCACTTCGCGTATTCTTTCAGCTCAACCCGACTTTGCAGCTCAAAGATCATGCATACGAGAGATAAATAAGTTTTTTTTTGTTAAAAAAAAAAAAAAATTATTTAAAAACTATTACTTACATACGTATAAATAATTTAGGTAATTGAAGATGCCGGCCACATATGCATCTTTTACCCTAAGTTCTATTGTGAACTTAATTACATTGAGTCCATTTGGGCCGAAGTGAAATGTTATGCAAGACTTTACTGTAATTATAGTTTTAAGAGCCTCAAAAAAACTGTTCCAATGGCATTAGATTCTGTTAGTTTATTAAAAATTCGCCACTTTGCTCGCCATTCTGAACGATTTATAAGTGCTTATGAACTTGGACTTTCTGGAAAGGCTGCTGACTTTGCAGTAAAGAAGTATCGTTCTCATCGTCAAATTCCAGAACAAGTTCTTGAAGAATTCGCTCATGATTAAAATATTTTGTATAAACATTAATAGATGTCAAAGTATATATATACGAACTATATGTGTAAATAAAAGTTGTAAAGTAATATTTTAAAGTGTATACGTACTTCAATAAACTGTGATTTTAAAAGCAAAAAAAAGT